CTGGTACTTCCTCTCGAAGGAAGGCTACTGTCTTGCATTCACTAGTGGTTCCATCTCCAAACTCCAAAGAACTATAGCTAGTGAGTGCCAATAACAATGCTCATCTTTCAGAGTCAGCAAGTGGACAAAATTCACTCAGGACAAAGACATCTTCTAAGAAGGCAAAATAAAATAAAAAAGCTACACAACATTCCTAGAGTGGACATTTCAGCAAATATAGAGCTTCAGTGGGGAGGGCCGGCACAAACATAGAATATACTGGGAGTGAGATGAGAAAGTAGGGAACAGATGTGGCTGAAGCAGCTTATGCCCCAGATATTGTAGAGCCCTCATGTCCTTTCTCCCCAGGTGGTGTTTCCACACTGCCTCCCTTTTCTTAAGCAAAGTACCTCTGATGGATGGATGGGCTGCTCATCTGGATCACTGTTCTCTAGTTGCCAAGGCTGGTTTTCTATTGAATCCATAATTTACCCTCTTTTTTACTAGTAGAGGTCATATTCCTTGAAGCTGCTCTGCCCATGACTTTTTGTGTCTATTTATAGAGGGTGCCCTATTTTTATTTATTTATTTTTTTGCTTTTTTTTTGGTGAGGGCATGGGGTTAAGTGACTTGCCTAGGGTCACATGGCTAGTAAGTGTCTGAGGCTGGATTTGAACTCAGGTTCATCCTGACTCCAAGGCCAGAGCTCTATTCACTGTGCCACCTAGCTGCCCCATGGGTACCCTGTTTTTTTTTTTTTAAAAGACTACTTGGGGTGTGGCCTACCCTTGGTTATCCAGTAATAATAATAGCTACCATTTATATAGCAAGATGAATGTGTTATTGTGGGGGTTCTTTTCTAGTTTGGTTTGGATTAGATGACAGCTGAGGTCCCTTCCAACTTGAAAATCTTGCGATTCTGTGATGTACAGAAGAAAATCGGCTCCAACTTCAACAAATTAGGTGTAATTCTTACACTGATATATTTGAAAAAGCAACCTAAGGTAAGAAATCTATCACTTAAAGAATGTCCCTAAGCTAAAGTGTCTTTCCCCATGAAATGGGATAAGTGATCAATAGCTGCATCTGAAATCCTGAGGATAAGAGAATTGCTGTGGAGAGAGCCTTCTGAAGGCAACTTGACCACATAAGAGTAATTTACTTTGAATATATTTTGCCACATACCCTAGAAATGTGCCTCAATTTGTCTTCTCGTTATTTGAAACCTTGGTTTCCCCTACCTGTCTGTACAGATACACAGCTCCAGTCAGTGGGTTAGGTGAGTACTTCTTCCTGAGGTTTAAGGACCCAGACTTAGGCTACCTGGGGCTTTTCAGGTTCCACAGTAACCAAGTCAGGAGGAAGGAACCTTGAACCCAAGGGACTAAAGCCACATTGGCAGATATACCTCCACAAACAAGCCCCCCCACCCCCGTTCTCAAAAGGGACTCTTAAAAAAAAGGGACTCTAAGCTCACATTGACCTGGATTTATCCGGGGGGGAGGGCCTGGCCCCAAAGAAAGGGGCCAGGTGTCTTTTCTTTGGCTCTGCCTCCACTCTGGAGCAAAAAATTCTTGATGAAATCTCTAAAACAAAACTTAGGTGTGCCTACCATCTGGGATTTCCCATAAAGTAGGGATCCTTTCTAGAAAAGGTACAATATGGATATCAGATATACAAAAGCAGATTATTTCCTCCACCACAGAAAATGCTCAAGCTACAAAAGGATGCAAAGGCATTCATGGACAAATACAGACAGCCAACATTCAGGTAGCTCATTATATTCATCACATTTCCCTGGAAGACAAAAGCCTTTCATAGGACTGTGGCTAGTGGAATAGATATTTCACTTTTGCCTCACCTAGAATCTACCCCAGCCTAACAGCTTATGAGGTCCAGAAGTCTTGGCCAGGTAAGATGTGGAGTTCTGGGCTAGGCCTGACTCAGACTAGTCTGGCGGTTTATGTTTAGTATTAGAGTATGGTTTATAGAATGACTAGAGTCTCCTCTTGACTCTCAGTGGCCATTTACCTTAGAGACAACCTCCCCCACGCCCAAATCATAGAGCCCAATCTATGACTATATTATTCTAGCAAAGAGAATGTGCTTCAGCAAGGAGCAAGAACACACGTCCAGTTCCATGTAGTTATCCTTTCTGATAGCATATATCCTGTAACTTCATCAAGTTGATTGAGGGGACACAACTTGACCTCTGCTATACAGAGAGACTCTCCCATATGCTCATGACCTCCCTGAGAAAAATAAGTCACCAAAACCAATTCATAACCACAGCACTGAGGTATGTGTTACTCCTGGGCTTTGCCATTTTAGTACTGTAGTTGAATGGAGTGAGCCATTAATAAAAATATCTCATGGAGAGCTCTTTTCTTGTGAAGCCACATTTCCCAAGAGCTTTCAGAGGAGAAGAGGTATAATGGAGATAGAGTCCTGAGTAGCTCCCTGTCCTTGAAAGTTTGCAGCTAGATCTTTGCATCCTATATTTTTGTGAAAATGTTTCTAGGGGAATGGCTAGTACTGTGCTCAATGCTGAGTTTCATGAAAGATGAATTCTGACTGGCAGGATGGACTGTGGATGCCACTCTTGATATCAACCACATTACCTCCTGGTATTTTTTAGTTCCCCTATGAAAGAGGATTTAAATCCAATTCGACAAAAATATATTCCAAATGTGAGACAGTGTAGTGAGACCATATTTACTGGGCATATCATAGGATCATTGGAAGAGAGGGGAGGGCTCTTAGAGGTCATCTAAGTGGTGTCAAACTCAAGTAGAAACGGGGGCCTCCAAGCTGTACGTAAGGATCCTTGTGGGCCCCATATTGATTTGGAAAACCACACGTTTATATATTTCTTTTTTTTTTTTATTAATACATCAATACATTAAAACTAGATAGGAACTACATTTTGGTCTGGTTTAGGCTGTATTTTGGAGCGTTGTGGACTACATAACCTCTGACCTAATTCAATCCTTTTAGAGGCAGCTAGGTGGCACAGTGGAAGCCTGGAGTCAGGAAAACCTGAGTTTGAAACTGTCCTCAGACCCTGACTAGCTAGATGACCCTAGGCAGGTCACTTAACCTCTGTCTGCCTCAGTTTCCTCAACTGTAAAAGGGATAATACCACCACCTACTTCATATAGCTGTTGTAAAGATATTTGTAAAGTGCTTAACATAGTGCCTGGCACACAGTGGGTACTATATAAATTCCCTTCCCCTTTCATTTTAAGATGAGGAAAGGAAAGGTTAAATTACTTGCTCAGGGCACCCAGATTGTAAGGGCAGAGCTGGGAGATGAGCCTAGTTATTGCTAACTCTGGAGAAAGCTGGTGGCTCAGTGGATAGAGCACTGGGCTGGAGTCAGGAAGACCTGAGTTCAAATTCAGACTCAGATACTTCCTCAGATACTCAGATACCCTGGGTAAGTCACTTAACCTCTGATTGCCTGACAAAATGGATTCACTGGAGAAGGAAATGGCAAACCACTCCAGGATCTTTGCCAAGGAAACCCTAAATGGAGTCATGAAGGGTTGTATATGACTGAACAACATAACTTCTAACTCCAAGATGTTAAACTAATACCATGGGTGCTTCAAATTTGGGTCAAGTTAGTTGCCTAATACTCATCTCCAGGGCCAGGAGATGTAATAGCTGTCACTGCCTTGCTCTATTTAAACTTCCCATGTGGTTTTGAAATACAATGAGTGCCAGGAAATGGCGGAGGGGTGTGTGTGTAGGAACTGTGGTTAATTGAATTTTCTGGTTAATTCATAAACCAGAGATCCTATGATGTTTCAAACTTTTTTTGAAAAATCTAAAATGAAATTGTCAAGCTAAATATGAATCATTCTTTGACAATTGGAAATTCAGGGGCAACTGATATACAACAAGATTCTTCAACCAGATCATCTTCCCTCTGGCCATTCAAATCCACCTCTTTCCCACTGGGACCTTAGATTTTGCTCCCAGAACTACCCTGGGCTCTGATAGGTGAGTTTTCACCTTATTGTGCCTGGAGCCAGGCCTCTGCCTTATTTCCCTTCCATCAGCTCCAAACCATATCACCCCAGGCATAGTCCCTCCTCCCAACTCTCCTCCAGCCCCCCTTTATGTATTGAATTATCTTGTCTTCCCCCATTTGAATGTAAACCCCATTGAGGTAGCTTGCTTTAATATGTATCCCTGGGACTTAGCAGAGTGCCTGGCACATGCCATATGCTATCTTAATAAATGTTTATTGAATTGAGCTCCCTTGGGGCACTCGGGAGGAGGTCATCCTTCCAAATATGTTTTTGTCTTATAAGACTATATATACCTGCATAAGAGGTAGAAAATTGGGCAGAATCTATATTGATCTGAGGATATTCCCTGGAAAATTAGATAGTGAGTAAAAAAAAATTCTGGATAAGAATTCATTTTATTGTAATTTTTCATTTTCCTAAAAAAAATTGACAGATAATTTCTAACTGTGAAAGCTAATTATTGCTCTTAGGGTACATTGTTGCTAGGTTCAGTCTACACGTGATATGGAAAAATTCCAGTGGAAGGTTCTGATTACCTGAGTTCTAATTAATTGAATTTTATAGCATTGCAACCTTTAACCAATATGGACAAGTTGCAGTCTGTGTTGATGGAAAGAATTCCCACATTAACTAAATCAGATTTTTCACATACTAATGCAGGTTGACTTTCGGATCCAGAAAACAGTGCAAATTCAATTTGGAGACAAGCCAACCTAAGACATCCAGGCCCAGTTTGTCTATTTCACTCAATCAGAAATCTGTATGGCCTAGTCCCAAACTCTACCATGCTTAGCATGTCCATGATTTGGAAATCAAAAGGACTACAGGCATAGTGTGGGTTGTTTTTGTTCTTTTACTTAGGACTATGTAACACAGAAAATTGAAGGTAGCAAGGAACAGTGGAATACGGAGTTGGTTTTTAAGTCAGGAAGACTTGGGGTTCAGGCCTTGTGTGTACCATATACTTTCCTTCTTCCTCTGTGGCCTCCTTCTTCCATTAGCCAGTTCCTCCTGGAACTTCCATTTTGAGGAAGGGTCCAGACCAGCCATGCTTCGCTCTCTACATTTTGCTACCATGTTTCAGCTGCCTTCTCCCCCTACTCTGGTGCTCCTTTTCTCCCGTTGGTTCCTCTCAGAATATCCATTTTGAGGAAGGGCACAGATCAGCCATCCTTCATTCTCTGCACTTGGCCACCATGGCCACTATCCATGGACTCTTCCCCTTGATATGTCTTCCCCCATTAGAACGTGAGCTCATTAAGGTAAGAGACTGCCTTTCTTTTTGTTTGTATTTAGTGATTAGTGATAAGTGCTTGTGATTTGACTGGACTATGTGAGTTTGGGCAAATCATTTAACTTTTCTGTAACTTTGGCTGACTTTTAGAATCTAAGTTGAAGAGAAGGTACTCAGCTGCTTTGGTAGATGAAATTTCCTCTATCAAAGAAATAGATCTGGTAAAAAACAAAACAAAATAAAACAAAACCCAAACAACTCCAAACCAAAACAGTGACAGTCTTCATGCTCCCCATCTTTGCCTTGACTGTATCTGTGACCCAAAGTCAGCCTGGGGAGCAGCTTTCTTTCAAAGTCATTTGAATAGTTTCTCAGGGTCAGCTCTGCCTCCATAGTTATTTCTGATTCTCTTTGTGGACCGGAGCTGAAGAATACTGTACTGTCTTGGGGGGGAAGGGGCGCTAAGAGGCAAAAACTGAAGCCAAGGGAGATAACTCTTGTATCTAGGTGGATTGTTGGCTTTTAGCTTATTCTGGAGCTAGCAGTAGGCGGGGTGTGGGGTGTGGGGGTGGAAACAATAGGGCCCAAGGATACAGGAAGGCATGGACTGAGGCCTGTGTGAACAACAATTCTGTTATAAAGCCTGATTCCCCCTAAGCAGCTGTCAAAATATTATCAGGGCTACAGTTTGGAATCGCCACCCTCCCATATTGTGAAGGCACAGACTGGCTGAGCAGACCAGATTGTTCAGATGTGCCTTCCTCTTTCAGGCTCCCTAAGTGAAAAAGGACACAAACACTGGCAAGTGGAGAGGCATTAATGACTTTGATAGGATGTAAACTGATTCAGGACTGTTTGGGAAACTTTTGGGCCACACTGTAATTAATTTGTATGCTGATTATTTAAGTTGGCTGACTCTGACATTTTAAAGTCACTAGGCCAGGAGCATAGCAGGGATAACTTTCTTTCTGCACTGTGATTTTGGAATTCTATGATGGAGGCTAAACTTCAAAATTGGGATCAAATCCAGTGTGTGTGTGTGTGTGTGTGTGTGTGTGTGTGTGTGTGTGTGTGTGTGTGTGTGTGTGTGTGTGTGTGTGTGTGTGTGTGTTTTAACCACAATTTTAACAGGCTCTGGAGGCCCAGGAGACCATAAAAGATAGCACTTTTTACACAATCAGTAATTTCTTTAGAGTCAGTCACCAATTCAATTTAATGCAGTTCAGTTCAACACATTTGTCAAGTGCCCACTCGATGCTAGGCACTGTGTGGAAAGACAAAAATAAAAAATGCATCTACACTTGCTCTACCCTCAAGCAGCTTACACTCTACAGGGGTTGGGGGGGCGGTCTAAAACATGTATAGTGATAAAGTAATTTCAAAAGGCAGAAAATGCTCAATGCCTAGGTGGGAAGCAAGAACAGTCTACCAGTAAGGCACTTGAGCTGGCGTTTGAAGAAAGCTAAGGATTGTAGGGGACCAACATTTATGTAGGGCTTTAAGGTTTTCATCCTCATTGTCCTTGTTATAGATGAGGACACTGAGGAGGTGCTGGGAGATTAATTGATTCAGACAAGAAGCATCCAATCAGGAAGGGTAGAAGGTAGGATTTGAATCTAGGTGCCTCCTGACTACAAATCCAGTGTTCTTTCCATCAAGTGCCCATAGGTGGGGGGTGGGGGGCACTAGCTGGCCTAAGGCATGAGTGGAGAAAGGAAAGGAAAAAGAAATTGACCGGAGGACAAAGGGATAAAGGGAGAGAGACTGCAAGAAAATGTAAATGAACAAGCATACACCAAAGAAACTGTCTTACTGGGTTCAACTCTGCTCACTCCATTCGGTGTTTTGTTGCCAGGAGCAGCCCCAAGGGAATTGGCAATAGGAAGGTATGGCTGTCTTCTCTGGTATCAGTTTTAAAAAGCAAGTGTATTTATCCCAACCTCTTGGTGGCCCTTTATGGGTTCTGTCACACCAAATCTATGCAAACCTTTTGGGAATCCATATGCATTTCCACCAGTACAACCTCTTGGTGCCAAGGGATTCCATGAGTTTATTACGCACTATCAAATAATTCTTTCCATAATTTGAGTTTACCTAGCTCAATTTGAAAGGGTGCCACTTTATCAAATTGCTCAAGAATTTGAAGAACAAGTTCACTTGGTCTCCATTATTTACAAGAAAAAATAAAAGGTATGGCAGATGGGGCAGGCTACCACTATGATGAAGTTGGAAATTCCAATGCGGAATGACATTAAGGAAATGACAGGTATCACACCCCAGCTGGTGGGCTCCCCGGTAGTCAGTGGAGTGGTGTCTTCACCACCCATTAGTGGGGCTTCCTAGAGCTCCCTTAATGCTTTGTGAGCCTGGCAAGATGGCAGGTATCTTCTCAGACCCGATGGATGTTAGGTATGTGCTGCCTCCATCTGGAAATTTTGAATATGCTTTCACAGGGCAGGAAACTGCACTCAACATGTACCTTTGAGCTACTGCTTGTTCTATCTTTTCAATTAATTATGTGTTACCAAAATCTGGGGGTATGAGTAGTCACTGCCCCAGACTGTATGGCCCGTAATGACTGGGAACACAGTAAGACTCTCTCAGGTACCACGAGCCAAGCTGCTTCAATGGGTTGCTTCTCCACCATCTGACAGATTAATTAGTCCCTTCCCTATTAAAGACAGCACATAACCTATTAAACATGCGTTCCAAATTAGCTATCTGTTATAATTTATTTTTGGTATTACTAGTGTTGTTTTAAACATTTGTCATGCATCAATGAAGACAGCCCTTGCTCTAGAGGTTTTACAACCTAATTAGGAGAATTACTCATGACAGCCAGCTGGACTTGTTTATGTTTTTGGAAGTTTCCTGGGCATTCCCTTTGCAAAACTTTTATTTAAAGGTGAGCTCTCTATACTGGCTAGGAGCAGGATGAAGTCCCAGAAATGCTTCAGATACCAACTGTCCTCTCCCTTGCACACTTCATATGTTTTTCTGCCATGCTTAGTATCCACCTCTCTGCCTTTTAGGCTACCTTTATCTGCGGCCTTTGCTGAACTAACTTACATAAGGGCAGAGGTTACCATAGATTTTTGGATTTAGTAATTTGCAACCAGTGAACCACAGCCTTGGACCGGGCCCAACAATCAGCCAATAGATAAAACAAGCCGTTGAGATACTTCCCCTCTGCCATTTTCTACTATGCACTGGCTGAGTTACCAAAAGGGTAAAGATCCTATGTTATAGGAGTGGGTATCTGTTTAACAGAGGGTGAAATGGACCATCTTTTCACAGCTGGCTTAAATCAGTCCAAGTTAGAAGCCCCCTGACCATAGTAATACTGACTCTGAGCATTTCAAAATAGGTCAGCCTGGGGTTACGTTGACTCAGGCAGAGAGAGGACTTTCACCAGGTGCTCGAAAAGCATTTGCAAGTAGAAAGGAGATAGCAAGGAAACACTTTTCATAAATACAGAGAGAATAACATCCTGGTTCTAGTTTCTATCTTATACCAAAACCTCTTGCAAAAACAGGAATGGAAAAGGAAATTAAAATTGTTATTCCTTTTCCTAACATCTCAGGAGACTTGATTGGCTGAATTTATTCAATGAAATATTTTTTGCCTTCCTGGGCATACACCCCCTCACCCCCCATGGTCAAATGAATTTAAGGATGCCAAATCGGAAACCAGTAGCACCAGCATCCTTTGCATTTGTTCCAGAAGAAGCCAGTGAGGAGAGCTTGGTTCTCTTAGTTGAGTCATTCCCATGAGCCTGAAATCCTTTCAAGCTTTCTACTACCGAAAACCTCAACTTTGAAATAAATATTCACCACCATTACATAAGATAAGAGTAAAGTCACTCCTCAAAATATCACAAGCTGACAGGCCACTTTTGTCTCCTAAGAACATGGGTTTCTCTCCCTTCAATTCCATGTTTTGACTGAAAACAGGGCCCACTCCAGTGTCTAGTGAAGAGACCAAAAGCTGGAGCAAGTGAGATTACACGTTAGCTTAGATCCGCTCCCTTCATAGCTACACCATTTGAAATCCAGTCCTCCAATCTTCCAGGGTAAATTTGCAGACTGACTTTATTATCGAAAGGTTATTTTTATCACTGTATAGGTTCTTCAGTTGTACTGCAATTTTGTGCATAGAACAATGAAAGGAATGTGTATGCCCGCCAGTTGGGGGTTGGTCATTTTTTCCCATCCCAAATCTTTAGCTCTAATTGGAGTTATGAGATGACTCAACTTACCAGTCTATACAGAAAGCTGACCTGGAGATCCATGCTAGTGCCAATGGCAATCCAAAATTGTTTGTTTCCTAATTTTTTAAAGGAAGGAAATTCAAGATTCAGTAGTGGCAAGTTAATTATTACATCTTAACTTGGTTATGTTACAATAGCTTTGTTGTTCAGTCACACCTGACACTTCATGACCATATGTGGAGTTTTTTTGGCAAAGATACTGGAGTGGTTTGCCATTTCCTTCCCCAGCTCATTTTACAGATGAGGAACTGAGGCAAAGAGGGGTAAGTGACTTGCTTAGGGTCACATAGCTACTAGGTGTCTAAGGCCAGATTTAAACTTGGGAAGGGGAGTCTTCCTGACTCCAGGCCTGGTGCTGTATCCACTGTACCATCTAGCTGCCTGTCACAATAGCTACCCTTTCCTTAACTTTGCTTATACTGCTCCAGGTTCTCATATGGTATTCTGGCAGAGTACTGACTAATATGCTCTTCTATGGAGGATTTTTTTGGAGGTCCAAACTCAAGTCATTGGTGTGGACAATTTCCAACATGTAAAGTCCCTCCACTGCTGCAACTGACTACACTCTTTGGGAGTTGTCTGTGGCCAGTACTGAGAGGTTATGTGACCTCCTCCTGGTTACTTAGCTAATGTGTGTCAGAGACAAGACTTGAAGCTTACATTTCACCCCAAATACTACATTATCCTCCTAATTGCCATTAGGGAGCATTAAAAATCCCACTGTAGGCTCCCCAAAGGCACCCAAGAAGATATCAATGGATATTGCTTTTGGTGATAACACCATTAAATCTCATCTTCAAACACGGTCTGTTAGGATGAGTGGAATAGAGAAGGATAAAGAGGCAGCAGAAACCAGTAGAAATCATGTATTTGTAGGCTAAGACTGTGCTCTGTTTTAAGGCAAGTGACACACATACACACACACATACACAAAAGAGCCATTAGAGAGGACCACCATTTACAACAAATATCAGAAAAGGACAAGTAGGAAGACCTTGTCATGGGCACCAAGAAAGCAATGTCTTAATCCCAGCTGTGCATCTTCTACCAAAAAACCTCCTGACAGGCTTGAGCCAGACAAAAGCACAAAGAAGTTGTCCATTCCCATTCCCTTCAGTGTCTCAGAGAGGGCTGATTAACTGAGTAGATTAACTTCCCTTCTCTTCCCCCCAAGCTTCTAGGGACAGGCACTGTCATATTATATGATTAGGTTTTATTTTCCCAGCTCTGCTTTTTCCTTCTTACAACATAATTGCCTTTGGCTGAATGAGTGAATGGAAGGGGAAATTGGGGACCAAATCAGGGCATCTGGCCATTCATTTCTGTAGCAGTTTAGATCAAAGTCCAAGTGAGGATGAGCTTAATAGATAGAAACTATTTTTCAATGGTTAACTAAAACAAAGAGCAAACCATCAGTGTGCACATAACATACTTTTTTGGGGCAGGAAGAATGGGGAACAGGAAGGGAAGATTTAATCGTTTCAAAACCACTAGAGTCTCTTCCCTTTTGAGTCTAGGACACTAGCAATGAGCCCATGCCTAAGAAAGAGAAAAGCATTGCTTGCACTTTGCTTGCTTTTTCCCATTTAAGGCACTGGCCTTGGCTGTCACAGAGCTTCAGGGGAGCATTGTGTAGCTAAGCTGGCTTCAAGTGAGCTAGACAAGAGGACTTTTCTCTGGAGTATGGTGGAACCAAGAGTTGCTTGTCATCTCTACTCCCTGGTTCCTTCCTTGCCTTCTGCCTGGACATAGGCCCAGAGTACACACACATACAAAAACAGAGCATATGTGGAGGAGGGAGGGAGGGAGGGATTCTCCCTGTCCTATCGTCCTCCCCTCTACTCCTTTCAATCAATCAATCAATCAATCGATAAACAATAAGCACCTACTATGTGCCAGGCACTGTTCTAAGCACTGGAGATACAGTGCATCTTTGTGAGGGCTTGCCCTTCCCCCGTGGCTGTAGGGTAAGCGGGAAGGACAGGGAGAAAAGCAGGGCTGGATTTGGACCAGTTTGAGTTGGGAAATGGGGCCTACCTTAAATGCAACTGAACACACGCTGTGATAATTACTGTCCTTAACTGTGAGCTTCAGCAAAGCCAGGTATTGCAAAACTGCCCTTTCATTCACCCCAGTGAAGCGAAACCAAGGGGGTAGGGGAGAACGACAATGAATTAACGAGATGACACCTTGCATTACTAAGAAAATGCAGCAACAGATTCGATTGAACTCATTATAAAAAGCATAAAACAAAATTTCATGAAACACAATGGAGATCTGTGTTTACACACATACACACAAACATGGAACAAAGCTCTGCTTATAAAAATCAGTCTGAATGACTAGGATTGATGCCTGTTTGGACAAAGTTATCACTTGGCCATTAAACATAACTACCTCCCGGATATTTCCTTTCAAAGAGCTCAGTGGTCTTTTCTTAGATGAACTCAGCTGGCCTCACCAAATCCCTGTGAGGTAGGTAAAAGACAGGTATTATCATCCCTACTGTACAGATTGGGTCATACAAAGATGAAGTACCAAAGTCAGAAGTAGATCTGCGGTCTCCTCCCTCTTGAGTCTACTTCTTTCTAATAGGAATACCTTGCCTTCTTTGCTCAATGCACCAAAACCCCTCGCAAAGTTTGATTCAGGTGGAGCTAATACATCACTGGAGGAATTCAGGGCATGTTGTTCAGTTTCTGATTATTTTTCCCATCATTTCCTTTTAAAGTACATTAGGTTCCACTCAAAACAGCCAACCCAGATCAAAGCAAGGGGACCTGGGACTACCCGTACCCTTTCTTGGTCTCTGTCATGCCTGGCAATGTGTCGCCCTAAGGAAAGCAGTAGCAGAATGAAAATACTTGGATGAAATACATAATTTTCTCTCTTTCTCTCTCTCACAGACCCCCCCCCCCAAATGAGACAGCTGACATTACACCATGGATACAGAACCACAGAGAGCGTAATCTGGTGACCTTCTGTCAGACCAGAATTAATTAACCAGACATACAGTGGTGGTATTGCCAAAATTCTAGCTTGCCAACCTCTGGGGAAGCGATCAGCTTTGATAGGTGTTGAGGGTGGATTAAGCTAGTTGGGACTCTGGGCTGGGAGTCTACCTCTGTCTCCCTAGAAGACTAGAGACCCCATGTCACTGACTGGTGTGTGATGCTGAAGCTCAGTTAGTAGGCTCTCATTTGGCACAGCATGCCCATGGATACAGAAGCGACATGCACTCATCTTATGGCACAACCTCTCCAAACAACACTGGCATGTTCTTGGTCTACTGAGTCTATTTGCTGGGGAGGTTGGAAGGGGAGGTGAGTGAGTGTGTGAGTGAGTGTGAGAGAGTGTGTGAGAGAGTGTGAGAGAGAGTGTGTGAGAGAGAGAGGGGGGGAGGGGGAGGGAGAGGGAGAGGGAGAGGGAGAGGGAGAGGGAGAGGGAGAGGGAGAGGGAGAGGGAGAGGGAGAGGAGAGGGAGAGGGAGAGGAGAGGAGAGGGAGAGGGAGAGGGAGAGGGAGAGGGAGAGGAGAGGGAGAGGGAGAGGGAGAGGGAGAGGGAGAGGAGAGGAGAGGAGAGGGAGAGGGAGAGGGAGAGGAGAGGGAGAGGAGAGGGAGAGGGAGAGGGAGAGGAGAGGGAGAGGAGAGAGAAGAAGGCCAATTTTTTTTTGTTTGTTTTCTTCCACTCATTAGGCAATGTTAGGGAGTCCCTAGGGACACTAACCAATACCCTGCCTCCCCACCTCCATACACCTTCCAGGTTTGTGGCAGGGCAGCCCCTCTCATATAGCTAACTAGTTTCAGTGGAAAATATATTTGTTCTTTTCTAAGCTTTAATCGACATGTGCTGGTGGTAGGTCTTGGGGATGATGTTTGGAAATGGATATTCACATGTATGCACACACAAGAGCAAACACACACACATACACAGAGCGGCATCTGTACATGAATAGCGAGAAACATGGAAGTGTTTGTTGCGGTTCGAGATAAATGGGTCCCACTGGGGAGCCCAAGGGCACACACTAAGTAACACAAGTCGCCTAAGGTGTCATCCCAAAGCATCCCTTGGGAGGCACAAAGGTCCAAGAGGTGCTTGGTCCAGATGCAACAGGGCCAATACACTGACCCACCACCTCTGGTGGGCCCAGCATGAGGCTTCACCATTGCTCACAGGACTGACTCCTTGGATTCTAGCTCAGGGACACTGGCCGGAGTGGGGGCTGGGTTTCGGTGGGTCACCAGAGGGGAGGTCTCATCCTCAGACTTGCAGTTGGGGACCGCCTCTACTTTCACCTCGCTGAGTTCATGGTCCACCATCTTTGTTGCCTTCTCATTCAGGTAATGGAGGATACCGGCACCCAGGGCATCCCCCTCTACATTCACCACAGTGGTGGTACGGTCCCTGTGAATGGCCAAAAAGGAAACAAGTAGCTATTATGACAAAAGCCATGCTCACATTTATCCTGAATGTACAATAAACAGTGGAGCATTCCCTGTCCCGGTATTATAACTATTAGTTACAGTACATATAATAAAACACAAAATATAACATAACATCACAAAATCATTGTTATATTAATGTAATATGTTAATATTATATCGATTATATTTTATTATATAATAAAATAAAATATTACATACATGTATACATACACATATACATATATACACATATATGTACACACACACATGCACATATATATGCCCAGTGCTTTGGAGTCGGAGGCTCTGGGTTCAAACCCTACCTCTGCCACTTACTCTCCACGTTACCTTAGGGTGGGGTCACAATTTGAGTCCCAGTTTCTCATCTTTAAAATGAGGAAGTTAGATAGTTTTAAAGTCCCTTCCATCTCTAAAGCTATAATGCCATGATTATGAAGAAGCTGTGTTTTTGGACAGCATAAACTAAGAGTATGATGTCTCCTGATTCCAATATATCCGAATACTGAATCTGTTATTAGTAACTGGCCCTCAAGTAGTTCTTGTCTGTTAAAACTGGCTTCTCATAGACAGAGCCCCTCCTAACTGGACCCCTCTGACAGAGGCAAGGATTATCTTCACCCTATTTTATAGACAAGGAAAACTGAGAGATCAACGTTTCTAAAGTTTTTGTAGAAACAGAAGAGAAGTGTCTCTGCTGCAGAAAGAAAGACAAGAAGAGGGGTCACAGAGTTAAGGATGTAGGGAAGGAAGAAACCTTAGAGGCTGCTAAGTCCAGTGCCTTCGTTTTATAGATAAGGGAAAGGCTTGAAAAATTCAAGGGATGTACCCCAGGTCCCACCAGGACTGCAGTGTCTGAGGCAGGATTAGAACTCAGGCCTGAGTCTACATCTAATCTAGCCCTCTATTCCCATGCCTCCTACATGGTAATCGATACTGTCCCTTCCTGGGGAGTGCATGTGACATTTCTTCTTTGCTGTTGCCTTTACTCAGGGCCTCATCTCACCAATTTTACAGCAAATTGTTTCCTAACCAGCTACTTCAGAAACAGCCATTTCTTTAGTACAGGAGGAAGGAGAAACCCTTTAAAGAAGAGAAAAGAAAGCAAACCAGTCAGGGACAAACCTTCCTAAGAAGGGGAGGAAATGGTAACTGCAGGCATTGGCTTCATGGGTCTACTTCAGCTGTAGGTAAATCGTGCCAAGTAAAGAGACTGGATTCTTTTTAAAATATGAAGCAAAGAGCCTAGTGCCTAGAAAAAAATTAGCATTTAGAAAAGTCAGTTCTACTCACTAAACCTGAGAGGCAGTTTTTGGATGCCAAACTCAAAGTACACTCTCCCAGCATCATGAGATGTAAAATGGATAATTTTGATTATATGAAATTAAAAAGGTTTTGGAGAAACAGAATCAATGCAACCAAGATTGTACGGAAAGCAGAAAGCTGGCAAACCATTTTTTAAATTACATTCTCCCTACTCAGCTCCACCTACTGACTGCCCTGGCTTCCTTTAAGTAGGGACTACAATCCCATCTTTTATAGGAAGCCTTTCCCAAACTAGTTGAATTCCAGTGCTTTCTCTCTGTAAATTATTTCCTAGTTATCCTGTATATAGCTTGTTTTGTATATATTTGTTTGAATATGATCTCCCCACATCGGATCTTACGCTCCTTGAGAGCAGAAACTGTCTTTAGCCACTTTTGCGCTTAATAGAGCCTGGCACATAGTAGGCACTTGATAAATGTTTACTGACTGATCCAAGTACTAGTCAGGATTTCAGAACTTAGGTTGCGGGGGAGTACGGGGAGAGGGAGAGGCTGACCCGTCATCTCTGTGCCTCAACTTACTTGTCTGCAAAATGGACAAAACCATATTTGTTACACAGTCTTTGACTACATGTGACTCAAGCAACTTGACACCTAGAACTTGATTTAAGAGTCTATGTTGGGGCAGCTAGGTGGTGCAGTGGATAGAGCTCCAGCCTTGGAATCAGGAGGACCTGAGTTCAAATCTGCCCTTAGACACTTGACACTTACTAGCTGTGTGACCTTGGGCAAGTCACCCAATTGCCTCACCAAAAAAAAAAAAAAGAGAATCTTTGTTACAGGCTTGAAGACAAGGAATAAATATTGAGCTTATTGAAATATTAAGTGACAGGCAGCATGGATGAGAGTTTTGAATCCTCCACCTATGTAACCACGAGCAAACAATGAAAACTTTCTGAGCTCTAGTTTTCCCATCTGTCAAATTTGGGTAGTAACCCCTATACTTCCTACCACACCTGAGGGTGAAGTGAGATCCTAACTCTAACTGGAACCCTAATCCCAACCCTAAACCTAACTCTAACCCAAACCCTAACTCTATCCTGAACCTTACCTCCAACCCAAACCTGAACCCCAATCCTAACCTGAATTCTAACCCTAACCCTATAGTGCTTTATAAACCTTAAGGCTTTATGTGTATAAATATCATTTATTAGTAAGTCCTCCCACCTTCCATGCTGCTGAGGTTAGCAGACCTAAATTACTGTTTGGGCTCATCCACCATGCTGCTTCCTTCCCCTTTCGGAATCTCTCTCCTATTTGTGGATCAGTGGCTTGCAGAGGAAGGATCCAGCTGGAGAAAGATTCTGGCCTTAGTAGCATCACCTTTTTTCCTAGTGGTTGGTACTACTCAGCAGCCAGGACTTTTCCTAAGCCTTTGTTCCCTGGGATTGCCTCTAGCCCTGGTTGACTGGAAGACTGGGCCGTTAGCCTTCCCCACAAAACTCTGGCACTAGAAGGAACCCTAAAGATCCCTTTGTCCAGCCCCCGTGGCTTTTCAGATGAGGAAACTCAGACCCTAAGAGGTTAGATAATTTGCGTAAGGTCCCACAGGCAATAAGGTGGCCAAAGCAGGATTCCTGACCAAGCCATTCCACCCCACAGTTTCTCTTGGCTCCAGGGTCATGAGGCCACATTTAGAGTTTGAGCAGCTGCTTTCTGGGGTGTTTCAAGTCCGTGGTGAATGACCCTTTGAGAATTATCATTTGGGTTTAGGAGAGGGCGCCTGGTATAGTGGATACAGAATGTGGAATCAGGAAGCTCGGATTCAAATTCTACCCATAACATTTCTTAGCTGTGTGAGTCCTTTCTGTCATTTTAAAAGGCAGATAATGATATTTGTAATAATGACCTCACAGGATTGTTGAGAGGCTCTAACATGTGCAAATTACTTTGTGAGCTTAAAAGGACTATAAAAATATTAATGGTTAGGATTATTTGTCTTGCCTCATTTATTTGACTTTCCTGATGCAGAAATTTTATCTCTCAGCTAGGCTGTAAACTCCTACAAGGAAGCAGCCCTGACTTACCTTTCTCTGCACCCCTCTCTGTGCCTAGGACAGGGCTTGATCCAGAGCAGATGTTCCATAAAAGAAGGTATCAGAGAAATGAACATGGGGACACAGATAGATCTGGAGGAGGCCTCAGATGACATATAAGTCAATACCCTCATTTTACAGCTGAAGAAACAGGCTCAGGGGCATGAAGTGAATTTTTTAAGGTTACCCAGGTATTAAGTGGCAAAGGTGGGATCTGAGCCCTGGTCCCGTGACTCACACCAGGGCTGCCTCCCATCTGCGCACAGCCCAGAGGGTGGGTACCTACACGATCCAGTCCACTGCGAGGATCAGGGAGAGATCATGGGTGGGTAGCCCAATGGCTTCCAGGATGATGGCGATGGTGAGCACGCCTCCCGCTGGCACTCCCGCTGCTCCAACGCTGGCGGCCGTGGCAGTCACCCTGTGAGAGGGCAAGGCATAGGTGGTCACTGCTACTACATACAACATGCTACTAGGCAGACTGTGCAGAAAGTGGAGTGGGTACATAAGAACTTTTCTATACACACTGACAATGAGGCTGATGCACGCAATGCCAGAGCTAGCTCAGTGTCTGGGAGGCTCTGAGGAACGTGTGGGAGAGAAGAGGTATTAGACTGATTACCAAGCTGAAGGTCTACAGAGCCGCTGTGCTGACCTTAGTGTTGTATGCCTGTGAAACCTGGACAGTCTACCAGCGCTGTGCCAGGAAACTGAATCACTTCCCTTCGAATTGTCTTAGGAAGATTCTGAAGATCCCCTGGCAGGATAAGATACCTGACACTGAGGTCCTTTGTTTGAATTAAACTGCCTCGCATTCAAACTCTACTGCTGAGAACGCAACTCCCATGGGCCGGCCACGTTGTTCAAATGCCAAACGTACCCTTGCCAAAGAGACTATTTTGTGGAGAACTCACACAGGGCAAGCGCTCACATGATGGTCAGAAGAATCGATACAAGGACCCTCTCAAGGTCTCTCTGAAGAACTCTGGAATTGACTGTGTGGCATGGGAGACACTGGCACAGGACCGCCCAGCATGTGTGCCCACATCAGAGAATGTGCTGTGCTCTATGAGCAAAGCAGAACTGAGACAGCTCAAAGGACATGCAAGATGCACACATTTAGAGAATCCACCCCAAGTGTTCACATGGACTGTTTGTGCCCGACCTGCAGTAGAACACTGCAAGCTCGTATTGGCCCGATCGGCCCTAGTCGGACACACTGTAACTTGACTCTAGCACAGTGAGGTCATTCTGGTCCACTTTGAGAACAAAGGACAACCACCAACCAATCTATCACAACAGCTCTGATTATTACTTAAACATTATTATTATTATTATTTAATTATTACTTGAAGGATCCATGATTTGGTCAGGGTGGGAACTCCACTCCACTCACACTGATCACACCACTCCCTACACCTTAACAAGTGTATGAGACTGGGGGATGTGCCTCACTGTGGCCCACCTGGTGATGGGCCACCTCAATGGCACAGTGCTTCAGAGTCAATTAGACGTGAGTTCAAATCCTGTCTTAGACATTTAATGCCTCTGTGACCCTGGCCAAGTCACTTAACTTCTGTTTGCCTCCATTTCCTCATCTGTAAATTACGGATAACAATACCATCTACCTCATAGGATCATTGTGAGGATCAAATGTAATAACAATAACATACATAAAAAAGTGTCTTGCAAACCTTAAAGTGTTGGCTATTATTATTATCACACGAGCATCTCCGAACTTAGTCTTTCCCTTGGACAAGAGGCTCATAGCGTGTTGCCAGACCCGTGTTTGACGCCTTTCCCGCTTGGTAGGACCTGCCAAAGCTTGTGCCCGGCTGGCATGGCCTTCGAGAAGCCACGTAATTATTAGCCATATATTGACTGCCTGGCTCCCATGCCTCATCACGGTGTGGAGTGGAGTGAGGCTGGGTTCTCAAAGGCTTTCTGAGCAGGTGGAAAGCTGGCAGGTTTTACCTTTCCTGGAAAGGCTTCAGGGACCTGGAAACTGACCAAGTCAGCTTCAAATTAATCTGGCTAAGTACAGAGAGGCTAGTCCCCGGGAGTCTGGCCACTTGGGGAGGAATTCCTTGGCCACGGCAGCCTCTGAAACAAAGGATACAATATGGCTGTAGGCAGCAGACGGTGCTCTAGAATCACACCATTGTGAGCCTGCTTGTTAACATTAACCGCTGGTACCCTAACTAATAACAGTAATAATTACTAACATGTATATAGCACCTACTATGTGCCAGGCACTGTGCTAATAAGTGCTTTATTTGATCCTCTCATTATTATCCCCATTTTACAGTTGAGACCACTGAGGCAGACAGCTTAAGTGATTTACCCAGGGTCACAAAATTATTAAGTATCTGAGGTTGGATTTGAACTTGGGTCTTCCTGACTCTAGACCCATTGCACCACCTAGCTGCCCTAAGTATGTTCTGCTCTAAGTGTGAGACCTTTTTCCATTAACCAACTCACTGATTATTCACAGAATGTCAGACAGGGCATGAAAAATCCCTCCTCTTTCTCATCTCCAAATCAGAGACCTTAAAGATGAAAAAGCCTTGCAGGGATCCCCTGATCCAATCTCCTGTGTCATGGGATTATTGTGTGAAGTTTGCTGTGTTAATAACATAAATATGGAGTTGCTTATGCACTGCGGCCTTAACAGTCAACATATTCAAGTGAGACAGCTGGCAGCTAGGACTGACTCCCCTCCCAGGTTCCCAGAAGCAGCAGGGGGTCCCAATTCGCAGATGAGGCAACCCTCAACGCCTTTTCTTGGAGATTCTGACACCTGTACCCCTTCTCCTCCTAGCAAGCGGCCACATTGGTTGACCCCCTTCTCCTGCGTGGTGCATTTCCTCTTCTCCTACTAACTCGCTAACCACACTCTTGTTTCTGTCATATGCCCTGCTCTATGCTGAATAAAAATAAATATGGTTGCAGCTGCTGAACCAGAGTCCACATTCTTGGAGACACACGACCTCGGCAGGGGAATGAATGAGGAGTTTCTCTCAGGGGACGGCATACTCTGCCCTCCCCTGTGAGCTACTGTTTAACCTTAACCTCCATTTGTTACACCCTTGTTTTCAGAGAGTCGATTTTTTATTATTATTATTATTATTATTATTATTCCTATGTTTCAACTGAGCCTCAGAAAGACAATGTCAGCCTTCTGGGTCGACATGTGGATTGGAAAAAGTCTTTTTTGCCCATGAATCCTTTTGTATTTGAAATGTTTTTGAAAAATGTTTACCAGAAAAATCCCTAAAATTCTGACCCAGCTTCAGAGAAGATAGTAACTTACAGAATAGTGAAGATCTGTCCTGCATTCAGGTCCACATTGTTAAGCTGGGCGATGAACACAGTCGCCACACACTGGAAAATGGCTGCCCCATCCATGTTCACAGTGGCCCCAATGGGAAGGATGAACCTACTGATACTTTTATCTACACCATTATTTTCTTCAATGCACTTGATCATGGATGGGAGGGTTGCTGAGCTGGAAATGAACAAAAGAAAGAAAGATGGTCAAGTCCAATTCAGAATCTCTTTGTAGGTCTTAAAATGATTCCTAGCATAACAGATTTACTTTTTACCTCTTTTTAAAAAAATTTTATCAATGCTTTTGAAAAGTTTCAGAGAAAGCTGGGAAGAATCTTACATAAAATGATGCCATAAGATGAGAAGAACCAGGAGAGCACCTTATACAATAACAAGATTATAAAGGCAAACAACTCTGAAACACTTAAGAACTCTAATTAAGACAATGATCAACCACAATTCTGGATGACTGATGATGAAGCATGCTAACAGAGAAGGGATGGATTCACAGTGTGATGAATGAAACACATATTTACTGGACATGGCCAGAGGGGGAAACGGTTTTGCATGACCATACATATTTATTACAAGGGTTTCTTTTTTCAATGAGGAGTTGGGGGGGAGGAGGAAGAAGATGGATTTTTAAGTAAAAACAATAAAATGTAATTTAGGAAAAAAGCTAACAAATCCCACTTCCACCTTTAATATTAACTAGGCAATCCTTTGGTACTATTTAACACCATTATTGTGGATAGGCAGTAAATATCCTACTAGAATCATTTTGTCTTATTTCCTAAATTTATAACTCAGAGAATTAAGAGTTGGATGGGAGCTCAATGGTCATCTCCTCTAACCTATACCTGAACAAGAATCCTTTCTATAATATCCCTGGCAAGTGGCTCTCTAATACTATCTTGTTTCTTGGGAAGGGAGCTCCCACTTCCTAGAACAGTCCATTCTACTTCTGAACACCTCCAATTGTTAGAAAGACTTTCTTTACATGGAGGTCACCAACATTGGCCTCGCTGATGTTCCTTGCATTAGACAACATCTTCCAGCTCTGGACATTTTCCTTGGCTCTCTCCCATGCCTGGAACTCTTTCCCTTCTCATCTCTGCTTCCTGGCTTCCTTTAACTCTCAGTTAAGGTGCCACCTTTTACATGAGGCCATTTCCAAGCCTCCTTAACGCTACAGCCTTCTCTCTGTCAACCACCTCCAAATTATCTTGTATCGATCTTAGACTACACAGTTGTTTGCATGTTGTGCCACATTAAACTGCAAGCTAGTTGAAAGCAGAGCCCATCCTTTTGCCTTTCTTTGTATCTGCAGAGTACACGAGTACATCATGAGTATTTACTAAATGCTTGATGACTTGATGTGAGGCGAAACACAGTGGCTTCCCATGTCTGAGTTCTCCCCTCTGAGGCCAAAAGCACACCTCCCGAGCGCCTCTTGGTGAGTGCAAGTCTGACCACCCCAGACACTTACTCAGAATGTTTCCTTACTGAGTTAATCAGCTTACTTTACACAGGCCAAGTTTTCATTGGCTTGCAGAGAAGGCCTGCTGCTGTTTTGGGCAACATAAACAGGCTATTCCAGATTACTTCTGTCTGCTCCTGCTAGACGTGAATGGTCAGAAGAGAATTTGACGCTGTGTGTCTGGAATGCATTTGCCTCTCTCCATCTACACCTCCTAGAGCTCCCAATTTCTTTCCCAAGCAAGCCCACATGCTACCTTCTGCAAAAGGAAATCAATAAGCACTTTTTAAGCCCCCAATATGTGCTGGGTACCGTGCTAAGTGCTGGGGTTATAAAGAAAGCCAAAAGTCACTCTCTGCCTTTAAGAAGCTTGCAATCTAACAGGAGAGACAACAGGAATACAACTATGAACATATGAGATGGATATACAGGATTAACTGGGGATAATCAATAAAGAGAAGGTACTAGCATTACGGGGACTGGGATTGGCTTCTTGTAGAAAGCGGGTCTTAGCCAGGACATAAAGGAAACAGAGGAAGCCAAGAGGTGGAGATAGGGACAGAGAAAATTCCAGGCATGGGGGACAACCAATGAAATTGCATGGAGGCCTTTCCTGAATCCTGTCCTACCTTACCTTATGTCTAGTCATTAGAGTTTCTCTCTGTTTCTCAATTAGTTTGTACTACTTTATATATATTTTGTATTTCTTTGTGTACATGTGTATACGTCATATCCCAGGAGTAGATAGAGCACAAACCCTGTGAAAGCTGAGGCTGTTTTAGTTTTTGTCTTTGTATCTTTGAGCAATTTTGGCCAATCTTTGGCATAGGGGGCTTAACAGGTATTTAATGAATTGAATGGACAAATTCAAAAATATAACCCAAAGCAACTAGTGAAGTGATGTAGTCAACAACTAAAAGTGAGAAGAACAATCTAACCACTTTATGGCCCTAGAATCTGCTTAGGTAACTGTCTGTTCTTCTTCACAGACATGGATGTTTGAGGGAACTGGGTGGGGATGTAGAACCGTATTCAGTCTTTAGTTTGCATTAGTTAACAATGGCACCTGGAGACTACTCACCTGGAACAGGTTGCAAAGGCTGTTGCAAATGGCGTGAGGAGTCCAAGAAGAAATCGGTATGGGTTTTTCCGTGTGAAAACAAAATAAATGAGTGGCAGAACAATCCCTCCATGGATGATGTGGCCCAGAATTGACGCAAAGATATACTTTCCCAGGCTGGTCACCAAGATGACAATGTCTTTCATTTCTACAATCTTACTTCCAACAAGGAACATGATACCTACAGGAACATACCTATAGGACAAATATAAAAGACTCTTTGGAAAAGGTATTTGACCTTTCAGACTAAAAGTATCTATGTAGGTAATGTCTTTCTGCTTTAGGAGTCAGAGGGCTTTCATCTTGCTTATTTTCTCCCTATCTCTGCAATGTTCATGTTAAAAATAGGATAGGACTGGTGGTATTTCCCCTATTTTAGAGTCCAGGAAACTGAGGAAGAGTTTGATTTACTTACTGGCCCAAGGTCATGATTAACTGGTAGTAGACCCATGACTAGATTTTTAGCTTTTCCTCTAGACTATGTCACTTTTGTCTTTCTAAAGAATGGAGCTCAATACAATTACCTTCTCCTAGTGGGATGAAAGTATGACGCCAGACTCCGGGGTTTCTGAGCTCAAATTCTGCTTGTGCTGCTGTTTGCTTTGTGACCTCTGTTAAGTTATTTAAACTAAACAGTCAGTAAAGAACAATATCGATAATGAGGTAAGGCAGGGTCAGAGGTATTTTTTCCTATTTTACAGACAGAAAACTGAAGAAGAGTTTTATTCATCGATTGACTCAAGGTCATGATTAAATGGCAGCCTACCCATGACTAGAATCTTGGCTTCTTCCTTAGGCTATATGACCTTTCTTGTCCTAAAGAATGAAACTCAATAAAATATCTTTTCAAAGTGGGATGAAGGGTGAGATCAGACCCTGGGAGCTAACAGGTAGCTTCTGCCTGTTTTGTAACCTTGCTTATGTTTATCTTCTGTTGTCTTTTTCCCCTAATGATAAACACAAAGGATTAACAACTACCTAATGGAATTGCTAAGATGCAAAACCGACACAAATCTACATCTTTTGGGAAGGTTTTCTGATTCTTTTCTGACAATAAGAAACCGATTTTGTGTGAAAGGTCTGCCGATTTTGGTGTGCACATCTATTTAAAATAATGCCATGCATATTCCTAGGGCAGATTATTATAGGGAGAGTTATATTAAGGAAAGTCAGTTAATCATCTGGATTAGAAAGAGTATAGTTTCAATTGATTTATTCATTATAAGAAATGAACAGGGAACTTTGGTTTTTATGTAACTGGGGGGAGAGAAGATAGGTTGAATGGAAAGAGGAATTAATAGTAAAACTGATTAAGATCTTTCCCAGAACTGGTCAAGGCACCTGGTGTTCAGGATATTTTAAATTGCAGCTTTATGTAAGGTCTGTTTTTTGAGTAAAAAATATCAAGCTGGGCCCGGAGGGCCTGGGGACATGCCTAACTGAGCATCACCAGCTCATCCACTTGAAAGAATGAATGACTGTGTAACTGTTGGTTATAGATAAAAGGGGCTTAATAAGACAGTGTTGCCTTCTTGACAAGGGAGGACAATAAGCCAATAACCTCAAACTACTAACATGTGATGTGAAAAGCCCACGAGCTTTTTCCTTTCCAAAAGTGTCAGATGTTTCCCCAAACACCACCAGTGATACAAAGCTTAAATGTTTACATGGGTAAAATCAAAACCAACACAGGATGTTTCAAGTTGGGAAAGATAATCATGGGATGCTGTGGGCTCTCCTTGCCTTCCCACCCGTTCTTAGAATTTCTACCAGCTTCTAAGCATCTTTCCTCCTTCAGCTATAAAATAGTAACTAAAACATTTCCTTTCCAGGAATCTCCCTGAGAAGGGGAAGGGCTGGGAATCTTGTGAGGGTTAACAAAGAAGAAAGTGCTTTGTGGATGAAAGGTATGTAGGAGGATAAGTCCCGGATGTTATGACTGATGACGGATGGAAGTTAACACATAAAGAAATTGGGTTCTGCTAGGCAAACTGCCCCGGTCACTGGGGCCAAAAATCAGAGCATGGTGTATTGGGGTTTTTTTTTTTTAAGGGTCAAGCTCTTGATGACTTTAATAAAAATTAATAGTTATTTTTGGAGAACCAGCTTGAGTCGATTCAAAGTAGCATATTTAATTTATTATATGCTTTTAAAAAAAGTAAATTGTATGTAATACAGAGTATAAGTTTCACATATTATCCTCTTTTTTTGTCCTATTGAAAAGTTTCCATTTTTTGGAGTTTGTTAAATTCAGAATTTTAGAAAAAAAAGAAATGGAGAGTCAAGTCAAAGTCAAATGGGAAAACCCTTATTTCCCAACCTTTCCAAGCAGGAAATGATTTTTAATTATTTTTAGTGAATAAAAAAAGAACCAAGACCCTTTAGTATAGAAAAACTATGATAGGATATAATCAAAATCTTTAAAATTATGAACAGTATAAATAAGGTACGCACTGATTATGGTTGGTTCCCTTAATTCCTAGAGACCAGAACAAGGGTCCTTGAAACAGGTAGTTTTAGAACAAAACTTTTTTATAAATTACAAACTTAAAAAACTCACTGCTAACAAGAGATAGTACAGATTGAAAATATGAACAGATTCAAGATAGGTTTAGCTATATTTATTTATGAAAAAGCTATACCTATTATCAGTAGTGGGGCTATTGATATGATAAATGGGAAGTGAGGAAGCAATCTGGTTTTTGCACATGGGGTACACTTGAGGTTGAAGTCAGGGGGGTCCAGCAATAGGATCACAGGGTCACAGATCTATAGCTGAAAGGGCCTTTTTTTAAAATTAATTTATTTTTAGTTTTCACCATTTACTTCCATAAGCTTTTGAGTTTTAAATTTTCTCCCCTTCCCTCCCCACCTCCCTCCCCAAGATGGCATGCAATCCGACATAGGCTCTACATATACATTCCTATTAAATATATTTTCACATCAGTCATGTTGTAAAGAGTCAGAACCAATAGAAGGAACCACAAGAAAGAAGAAACAAAACAAAACAGAAGAAAAAAGAAAGAAGAGCAAACAGTATACTTCAATCTGCATTCAAACTTCATAGTTCTTTGAAAGGAACTTTGAAAGTCATCTGGTCTAACCCCTTCATCTGACAGAGGAGGAAACTGAGGTCCAATGAGGTTGTCATTTGCCTCAGGTCACACTGACACAGGTTGTAAAGAGTCAGAACCAATAGAAGGAACCACAAGAAAGAAGAAACAAAACAAAACAGAAGAAAAAAGAAAGAAGAACAAACAGTATACTTCAATCTGCATTCAAACTTCATAGTTCTTTGAAAGGAACTTTGAAAGTCATCTGGTCTAACCCCTTCATCTGACAGAGGAGGAAACTGAGGTCCAATGAGGTTGTCATTTGCCTCAGGTCACACTGACACAGGCAATATGCTTCACAGATCATTTGAATCCAGATCTTCTTATTTTAGAGAGGGTGCTCCTCTTCCCATACCACACTGCCTCTGTGCCCTCTTATGAAATATGCTTTGGTACCCTGGTCATAGGTGCAACCTATGGTTAAGCGGCCTGATTGTCTGATCCAGTGTCTAATTCTACATTCTTATTTAGGGGAAGAGCAGGATGCACTTGGGGGATATGAGGAAGGTGCACTTACCACATAATCCAAGACACTAGCACCATTGTTGCCTCATTGAAGGCATTAAAGAAACGGATTAGTTCTTCTCCTTCTGTGCCTAGTTTCTTCAAGGCCACTCCCAAGACCAGGGCAAAGAGGACCAAGCCCAAAATATTCATCCCTTCGATCTCTGTGCCATAGGGGACCTGAAAGGACTGAGGAGATACAGTGGTCAGGCCTCACCCTTGTGTGAGAAAACCGGAGATATTTCAATCTGCCCTGTGGAGTTTTCAGGCCAGACTGAAACACTGCAATGGGGAAGAAAAAAAGAGCCGGTTTTATTTCATCTTCCTCTTTAAAGGGACCTTCGAAAGGAAGAGGGAGGAAGCTCAGGAGACTGAAAAAGAAAACTGAGAGGGCTGAATGGGAAGTAATGAAATAGGAGCTGTGGCGGGGACCGGTCACATGAAATGCCATCACAGAAAAATGAAAGAGAGAGACAGAGAGAGAGATTACAAGAGTGCAGAAGAACAGAAACGGGAGAGGAGGCTTATGACAGGCGAATTAAATAAGGTGGCTGCAGGCATGAAAAGGGCAGAGACAGAGAATGGAGACAGAACCACTCTTCAGAGAAGCATCTTAAGAAAACTGAGTTGTATAACGTTTTGGTAACCTCGGTGAATGAACAGTGCAGATAAAGTAGGGGGAGGAGGAAGAACAGCAGAACGAAGTAAGGAAAGAAAGAAGGAAATAAGCATTCAATTAAACCCCTACTATGTGCCAGGCACTGTGCTAATCTTTTTTTTTTTTTTACAAATATTACCTATTTGGATCCTCACAACAACCTGTGACATTGGTGCCATTGTTGTTGAGTTATTTTCAGTCCTGTCTGACTCTTCGTGACCCCATTTGGGGTTTCCTTGGCAAAGATACTAATGTTTTGCCATTTCCTTCTCCAGCTCATTTTACAGATGAGGAAACTGAGGCAAACAGGGTTAAGTGACTTGCCCAGGGTTACACAACTAGTAAGTGTCTTAAGGCCGAATTTGAACTCAGGTCTTCCTGATTCCAGATGTGGCGCTCTATCCCACTGCAGTACCTAGTTGCTTTATGGTTTAGCAGCCCCCATTTCTATCTGAGTTCGGTACTGCTGCGCTAGGCAACTCTGAGACTCCAAGTTGCTCAGATATCACTGACCAGCAATGGTAGAGGAAGTTTCTCAGTGGGAACTCCCCATCCCAGCAAAACCACAGTTCTAGTCCCAACACTGTCCCAGTATTATTACCGAATCACCCTATAAATCCATTTTCTCCTAGCACTGTTTTCAGAGGGAGAGTTGCCATATGAGAGGAATTCTTTGTATTGTTCTTTTTCTCATATATCTGTGTTTCTCTTGCCACTGGACTTCAATGACTCTGGAAGACAGAGTGAAGCTGATGGCTTTGTGTAGCTCTGCCTCACTTAAATCTAACTGATATGCACGTCAAGACATCACCCTGTGATGTTACTGGTCCTCTTGGAAAGTGAAGGACAAACAATAATGCGTCTTTCTTAGTATCCCAAGTCTTTATCATTAGAAGAGTGAATCAGAAAGAAATTCAGAACCTTGTTGGACAGAACATTGGTGTATGGTTCTACAGCCAGATTCCACTTGAGCAAAAATTGACTGGTTTGATTGATTCTTGTCTGTTAATTGACATCATAACTCTGGGTGAGAAAGAATAGATTAACACAAAATCTAATTACCAAATATCATTAATACCAAATCTAACACAGGAAATTGGAGCTCCAGCTCATAGAATTACAGAATTTTTTGTTAGAAAGGAAATTAAATGTCATCTAGTTCAATCCCTACCTCCGGAAGTAATTTACACAAGGTCATATACCTAATGAGTGATGAAGCTAAAATCAGGAGCCTTCAGTGCTTCTTCTGCTGGAGCTTTCTTTAGCCAGATTCCTGATGTGAGATAATCAGGGGAAGAAACCTAACAAGCTTTGTGATTAAAGTCACATACAGGAGGAGCAAGAGCCACAGTTATGATCTCAGGATTAATGTGCCATCTCCCCATTTGAATGGAAGCTCGAGCAGAGATTGGCTTGTTTTTCTACTCGAATTTCCATAACTTTGTACATAGGAGTGCTTACTCAATACTTTTTCATTCATTCATTCAATATTCAATTCAACAAGCATTTATTAAGCACCTACTATGTACAAGGAACTGTGCTAAGTGCTGGAAGAGACAGAAAAAAATAAAACAATGCCTGACCTCAAAAAGCTTTATATTCCAACGGGGAAGGGAGATTCAACCAGTACTAAGTAAATGCAAGGTAGATAAAAATACTTGTTTAATTGAATGTTAGCAGAATTCCCTAGAAGGTGAACAAAAAGCATGGTTGTCAATTTTCCTGTTCATCTATTTTTACATTGGGTTCAGGTCTTCAGTGGGTTTCATGAGGGGTTAACACAAAGCATAGTACCCACTGGTACCCAGAAGAAGGAAAAAAAGCTTTCGAATTATATTAATTATCTGTATTCATCTAATGGCAGTATATTGTGTTGTGTTCTATAGTAACCAATTTCCCTCTTTTGCTTTATAAGCAGATTTCAAGGAATGAAATTTAAAATGGAGGTTTTCTTTTAATTTGCGTTGTTTCCATACCAAGAGTCCCTAAACCAGTGAACATCAGCCCTGGCTTGCTGACACCCCTAGAGTTTCTCCAGCTCCTTTGGGTGTCCTGAAATTCTGGGAAAAAAAAGAATGAATTTAACTTCCATTTGAAAAAAAAATGTAAGTGCCATTTGGTATTTGAAGAGAGGGCAGAGATGACACTAATCCAGTAGGGCTGGGATGTCACAATAGACCCTCATAGAATTATAAAAATTATCTAGTTTAATCCTATCATTTTACAGGTCAATCAGAACTTATTAAGTTTCAGGCACCAAGGCAGCTCAATGATGTAGGGGACAGAGTGCAAGAGTTAGGAAATCCTGAGTTCAAATTCTGCCTCAGTGTCCTCATCTGTAAAATGAGGGAATTGGGTTTGACCATTTCTGAGTTTGTGGAAATACGAAGGGTGCTTTTTGGATGGAGGAAAACATATAGACTAAATTAGGCCTGTGAACTGAAGCAGTCACTTAGTAAGTAAGTAATCCCCAGATGGTCTGATGATAGCAGCTGCCTATGATGCTTGATTTCGATTCTATTCCACGGCCAAACTTTTGCTTTGGAAGAATCTGATGTAGTTTTTGCTAGTGAAGAAACTGCTTTTCTCCTAGGAGGTCAAGGGTGATCAGTTAGTGCTAATTAGACAGTAGGTGTAGTCTTCTGCCCAGTGCATTGATTAAAAAGTCACTGTGGGCCTTGACTGGGAGATTGAATGGTATAGTGGAAGGAGCCCTGCACCTAGAATCAGAAGACCTTGCGTCAATTTCCAGCTCTCCTACTTACTGCCTTGGTCACCCTAAATACTCACTTGGCTTCTCTGGGCCTCGGTTCTGTCCTCTGGGAGATGAAAAGGTTCGACTAGATCATCCCCAGGTTTTCTTCCAGCTCCATCTGATTGACTACAAAAAGTTGTGAAAAATCTTGACATCAAATGGCAGAATCTTTGGGTCAGAAGGGCTCTGAGAGGCCACCTGGTCTCATCTCCCACTCACTGCAAGAATTCCCTGTACAACATCCCTGACACACAGCTATTCAGCCTCTGCCTTGAAAGGGCTCAGCCTCACAAGCCTATTCCCTTGGTAGACCAGGAATGAAATGCCTAGTACCTAAATTTAATACTTAAAAATGATATACTTAATGCTTTTTAAATTTTAATACTTAAAAATTTCATACTTAAAATACTTAAGACTTTAAAAATGTTAATACTTAGGATACTTAAATTTAATACTTAAAAAACAACAAACCATAACATAAGGATCCCTGTGGGCCACATATTGACTTAGTTTTAAAATGTAGTATTATCTATGTTTTACTGTATTTTTATTTCTTGTTAAATATTTCCTAATTCCATTTTAATCTAGTTAAGACCCTGGCCAAGTCACTTAACCTCTTTCCCCTCAGTTCCACCATCGGCCTAATGGGAATAATATTAGCAACTACCTCACAGGGTCATAGTGAGGAGCAAATAAAATAAGTAAATTTCTTTGCAAACTTGAAAGTGTTACACAAATTGTTGTTGTTGTTGTTTTGTTAAACTCCCTGAATAGTCTTAGATCCACAAGGATTCATCAAGCTTAATCTGTAGAACATGGGAGCAAATTTTGGAAACCCATATAATGAACTCGGAAAGCAAAGCAGAAATAACTTTCTAAATGCAAGAGTTATTTGTGTGGTTTGATGAATTTAAAAAATTCATTTACCTTGGGATTCCACAATGCTTTCATATTGGCTGAACTTAAAAATACATGACTTTGGACAATGGAGTCAAAAGAACAAGTATAACTGTGTTTCTGAATAATCTTTTACTTTGTCTTAAGAATGAAAATGTGCTTGTTCGGCAAATTCTTCTTCCCGCCCCTCCCTGCCCAGTTCCCTAACCAGACTCTAGTCCTCTATTCAAACATCCCTGACCAAACAACAGCTCGATGTTACAACCTTTCAGCCAAATACAACCTTTGAAAATCCAACTGTTAAACAATGCAGGGGAAAAGTGGCAAGCAGAAACTTCTGCAAAATGACAAATATTTTTCAGAAGGAGTAAGTGACCACAGCTGTCATTACCTTTTCTAAAGTGATATTTCCAAAGGTCGTATTATGGATGACTCTCTTGTAGTCAGTTGCATACTGTAAGCAAGAGAAAAAACAAGCCTCAGTTCACGTGGTTACAGAATTTACATGAGTGTCTGTCTATAACAGCTCAATAATTGTCTCGCAGCCATCCCGGTTATCATCCAAGCTGAGTCATAAGGGAGGACTTCTGACTCAGATGTTCTAACCCAAATCTTGCTTTTGAAAATGAGACAAAAGTTGCAAACGGAATAAGACGGAGGCTTAGATGTCACTTCTCCAAGTAGTCCCCGGGGTGTGCCGTGGGGCAGGGAGCAAAACATAGGATCAAAAACTTCTTATATTTGTGAAACAAACAGGTTCAAGAAGGAGGCTTTTGCAAAATTTTATTCCATTCAGTTGCACGTTATATCACCATTAAAATATATTAGTAGGATTTAGCTATGATTAATTCTATTAATAATTAATTCTATAGCATAACAAAGTTCACTTATTAATCTGCCATGGCTTAAACCAGAGACAGGATGACTCCTGACTGCATTTTCAACATTCATTTCAGATCTGACTTAAGTGCAGGGATTTTATATTATTTTTATGTGGTGACTTAATATTTGTCTTTGCTTCCTACACTGGGTAGGTAGATTAGTAGCAGTATATTCCTTCTGACTCTTTATTGACAAGTTTATCTGAAATGTTGTTGTTCAATCATTTTCAGTCCTGCCTGACTCTTCGTGACCCCATTTGGGGTTTCCTTGGCAAAGATACTGGAGTGGTTTGCCATTTCCTTCTCTGGCTCATTTTACAGATGAGGAAACTGAGGCAAACAAGGTTAAGTGACTTGCCCGGGGTCACACAGGAAGAGTCTGAAGACAGATTAGAACTTGGGAAGATGAGTCTTCCTGACTCCAGGCCTGGCACTCTATCCACTGTGCCACCTTCCTGCCCTATCTGAAATATAATCATTCCCTAATTTTTGTCCTATCTGTGGCTTGGGAATATATCTGCCTCTTAGAATCTCACTGTAATAATACTTACTGGAGAGCAGAATATAGAGTAAGCTAGAGTCTATCTTGGGCGCCATCCAAGAGGATTTGGATACTGAAATAGCAAAAGCATCTTGGGGACAGCTTTAGGGCCAGCTGCTGGTATACACTACTTATTAACATAAATTTTCGCTTCCTGGGTTTTTAACAGACTCTGAAATATTCTGTTAGATTTTGCGATCAACATAAAAGAAAAGAAACTTGCCTTCTCCTCCCATGAGAGACACATAAAGGTTCCACAAACCTTCCATTTTTCCATCTAGCATGCTTCATTTTAAGCCACACACGGGCTCGGCATCACACCTTTTACGTCTTGGTTTTATAAACAAACAGTCTTTAATATTAGAAGAACTGGGCAAGTCAATTGATAACATTTTAAAAATTATTTTCCTGTAATGTACTATAATTTCTCCTATCCATGAAATATATTTTAAATATAATTATAAGCATATATTAAATGCAAATAGTTACAAGCATACAATTATAAATTATAAAAAATTATAAGCCTGTATAATTTTACTTTAAAATAAACATTTTTGCTGTTTCTTTTTTTTTGGCTTTGGGGAAAAAAAAAGAAATGTACTGTGTCAATCAATGGACTGTCTGAGTTTGGTCCTCTGAGGTATTCTTCAAGTCTGGTCCTTCTTTAATTTGAAAATGATTGTCACACTTTTATAGGTCCATCTATATTGATGATCTAATACAGGCCATAATTTTCAATTTTGTCTAAGGAAAAAGATGAACAAACCCTCCTCTGAAAAATCATGGGAATACTTGGGGACACATAGAGAAGCATTTACCACTTTATGCATGTTTTAGATTGAGTAGCTTGGATCTTTAGAAACAAAACAACCACCAAAACAATTTAGCCCAGTGCTATCAATCCAACCCTTGTTGAGGCCCATCTTAAGTTAATAACACAGCAAAATTTTGCACAGCTTCCTTCAAGGTATCAAGTTCTTTGTTTTTTTAAGTTTTTAACAATTTGTATTTCATTTAAAAAAGCATTCTTACCGTGCGGAAAGCAGCTACCACGAGGTTAGATGGAAACAGGTTTCTGTTGGGGGAAAAAAAAAGCATACTGGGTTGATGAATAGTCTACAGAATTCTAAAGAAGTAGAAATATATCTGGTAGCAGAGACTCTCCTAGGTTAGCTCATGGCTCAGTGCACAGAGCGTCAGGCCTGGAGTCAGGAAGACTCATCTTCCTGAGTTCAAATCTAGCCTCAGACACTTAATAGCAATGTGATCCTGGGCAAGTTACTTAACCCTGTTTGCCTCAGTTTCCTCATCTGTAAAATGAGCTGGAGAAGGAAATAGCAAACCACTCCAGTATTTCTGCTAAGAAAACGCCAAATGGGGTCACGACGAGTTATACACAACTGAACTGAATGAACAACAGAGACTTTCCTAAAAATGCATCTTCAACAAACACTGAAATCAGTCTTTATGAAGCACCCATCATTATGTAAATACATTTGTATTAAATACAAATATAGTTATTATGTAGAACAAATATATATTTATACTAATAAATATATCATTATGTTATGTAATAACGATTGTGTTATTAGTATTATTATTATCTAGATGGAATGAACCTCAAAGGAGAAGAGGTTGCTGATTGATGGCGGAGGGAGAAGGGACTGCACATGGCAGAGGGGACCAAGAAATTTGCCTGTTTTTGCTCTTGGCTCAGTGCTTCTTAAGTATGAGGGAAGGTCATCCAACACTGGAGGGGGTGGTCCCCAATGTCACCTGGACAGAGCCAGGTTTCTAGGACTGCAAGGAACAAAAGAGTAGAGAGCTAAATATCAAAGGCAATGAATTAACAATGGAACAAGGCTTCCAGAAGGCACAAAGGGAAAGCAGGACAAAGCATGATAAGGGCGGGCTTAGAAATAATGGATGAAGCAGATGGAGATTAGGTGGCAGAGGGAGGAGCTTCCACGTAGGCAGCTTTCATTTAGCGAGCAAGGGTACATAAGGTTAACACACGATCATGCCTTTCTTCTGTGAGCGACCATTCTGGACAAAGTTTGTACTTGGATGTTGATTTGACTTGCTCACCCTAGAGAGGGGTCAGGGCTCTGAGACAATCCAGGTGACTGGCTGTCACCAGACCTAATGTTGGGAATATGAGGACTGTCCCTCATTGGCTGTGGAGGGCTGAGGCCAGGTTGATTCAAGCATGTTTCCTTATCAGGTCCCAGTACATGTTGACTTAATTTTGGTGAGGAGAGGTTCTAGACCTAGGCCAAGGGACAAGGTGGGCTGGTGGTGTGAGGCTGGCCTTGTTGGCTGGAGGGTGAGATATAGGACATGGCAACGCTGGACTTGCCACTAGGCTGGAGAGCGGTGGATGAGGGAGCCTGTAGTCTCCAGCTTCCCCTATCTGGATCATCAGAGTAGTCATGGTACAGGGGAGGTCCTGGCTACCTCTTGGTGGAATGCTCTGGGTTGGTGGGGCTGCCTTGTGGAAATCACGTCCTAATTATCTCTTGATGGAATGTCTTGGCTTGGTAAGGTAAGGGTAGGCACTTTGTGGTGGAATGTCCTGGGCTAGTGGGAGGAGAGAGGAGCTATCTCGTGGCATAATGTTCTATGATGGTAGGACAGGGGTAGGCACCCCATGGTGGAATGTTCTACACTGGTGAAGGCTGAGCAGCGGCTCCCACATAGTGGAATGTCTTGGGCTGGTGATCAGGGCACCTCATGGTGGAATTCGGCAGGCTTACTAGAAGGATGGGCATCTCATGGAGGTTGTTAGGACCTGGTTAACTCTTGATGTAATATCCTGGGCTAATGGGGGGTGGGAAGGGGAGAAGGTGAGGAAGATCTCAGGGCAGGATGTTCTAGGCTTTTGTGTGTATGTGGGCAAGTAGGCAGAAGCAGCACCACATGGAGGTTATCAGGTCTTGGCTGACTCTTGGTGGAATGTCCTGGGCTGGTGCAAGAAACCATGTCATGACAGACTGCTCCAGGCTGGTGAAGCTGACTCTCATTATGTCCTGGCTCCCTCTTTATGGAATGCTCCAGCCTGGTGGGGCCAGCTGGAGAAAACTTTCCTTTTCCTGACAGAAGCGCCCAGAGAATTCTGAACCACTATCAGGATGATAATGGGTCCCTGATAGGATTCAAGATTAGATAATCCTCCCCCTTCATTTCTCTCCCTCCCCTCCCCCACAACAGGTTCACTCTGTCCCCGAGTACTACACTGGGCGATCTGCATGATTCTCTCCTGCTCCTTCTTTGCAACGCACCCACTTACTTGAAGTAATATTTAATACGAGATTCTACCACTAAAGGACTCCAGAGAGTCTCCTATAGTTGGCTGGGCCAAAGCTTGACCACTAGTTCTCATGTTAGTCTGTGGTTTGGCTCATTGCCTAGACTGGGCCTTAAACGGACAGGGCAGCTTCAAAGGCAGTTCATGCCCAATGTCGTTCTACTCTGTTCACTTGGGGACAGCCCCAACACAGGTGTGTAGACAACAGAGCCGAGTTCCTTTGCAGAGCAGCAGATAAGCGCTGGCCGAAGTTACTCAGGGTCAGATAAAGAAGGAGAATTAACAGGATCTCCGGGAGCACACAAGAATGGGGTTCAAAGGCTGGCAGGGTCAGCTCTCCCAGGACAGTCACAGTGCAAACAAGAAAAGACAAGGAGAGTCGAAGCACAAACAGAAACAGAAGTGGGCAGAGTCCAAAGCCTGTCAGGACAAAGAGCTGAGGCTTGACAGGGCGACTTTGTGTTAGGCCAGGACGGACAGGGAGTTTTTTTGACAACTCAGTCTGTACCATAAAGAAACATCTGGGTACACCAGCCTCGCCATTCGGGGCTGACCACATCTGAAAGACATCCCAGGATCTGATAAAACACCATCTCAGCCCCTTTACCCCAAGCACCCTCCGGGTTGTGAAGCAGACACGTAAGCCTAGAGAGGACCGAACCCTAGTGGGTATGTGCACCTCCAGAGGCTGCCTTCAGGTATCTAAACAGCTGTCGTGGAAGGGGGGTTAGTCTTGTTCAGTCTGGCCCCAGAGGGCAGAACAGGAACGAGGAATGGGTGGAAGGTACTTATGGAAAAAACTTCCCAATGAATTACAGCTATCTAACAATGATCTAAGACAATTCCAAATGACTCAGGATGAACTATGGAGCCTGAAAGCAAATCAAAGCACACTATTTTCTCTTTTTGTGTGTGTGTTTTTTTGTTTTTTCTTTCCCGTGGTTTTTCCCTTTTGGTCTGATTCTTTTTTCACAACATGACTAATGTGGAAATATGTTTAATAGGATTGTACATGTGTAGCTTATATCAGATTGCATGCTGTCTTGGGGAGGGGGGAGGGGAGGGAGGAGAAAAAATGTAGAACTCAAAATATTATAAAAGTAAATGCTGAAAACTAAAAACCAACTAATTAACTAACTTAAAAAACAAATAAAACAAATTACAGCTATCTCATTACAAATTACAGTTGACTTCACTATAGGTCCATTAAGCCCTTCTTGACCCCCTCAAGCTGGGTGTCCTCCCTCTCAAAACTACTTCGTATTCATTTGGCGTATATCTCACACACACACACACACACACACACACACACACACACACACACACACACTCGAGCATGTGTCTCTTCTCTTAGAATGTAAGCTTCTGGAGGGCACAGACGTTACCTTGTGCTTCTGCATCCACAGTGCTTAGTGCAGTTCCCAGCCTATTTACTAATAAAAACTTGCTGACTAGAATGGCAGAATGGTTTGTATTTAAGTGTGGACTGGACCGGACATGGAGCCTCTAAAGTCCTTTCTGACTCTGGGTGTCTTCAGTGAGAATCCCCAGAGGACAGGGACTCATCTCTAGCCCTACAGCCTCTGTCTGTTCCCCCAAAGGAAGGGTGGAACTTGAGCTCTGATCCATCAATATTCTTTTTTTTTTTAATTTATTTATTTTTAGTTTTCAACATTCACTTCCATAAGATTTTGAGCTTTAAATTTTCTCCCCCCGCCACTTCCCCCATGGTGTACAATCTGATATAGGCTCTACATATACACTCACGTTAAGCATATTTTCCCATTAGTCATGATGTAAAGAACAATTAGAACTAATGGGAGGAATCATGAGAATGAAGCAATAAAACAAAACAACAAAGGAAAAGGAGAGCAAATAGTATGCTTCCATCTGCATTCAGACTCCATATTTCTTTCTCTGAGTGTGGACAGAAATTTCCATCTTGTGGATAGCAAATTTGGAGTTGTCTTAGATTCTTGCGTTGCTGTGAAGAGCCAAGTCTATCAAAGTCAGTTATCCCATAATGTGGCAGTTACTGTGTACAATGTTCTCCTGGTTCTGCTCATTTCACTCTGCATCAGTTCATGTAAGTCTTCCCAAGTTTTTTTGAAGTCTGCCTGCTCATCATTTCTTATAGCACAACAGTACTCCATTACATTCATATACCACAACCGGTTCACCCATTCCCTAATTGATGGGCATCCCCTCAATTTCCAATTCTTTGCCACCACAAAAAGAGCTGCTATAAACATTTTTGTACACATGGGTCTTTTTCCCGTTTTCATGATCTCTTTGGGATACAGAGGGGATCGAAGTTGTATTGCTGGGTCAAGGGGTTCATCAATATTCTTTAAACACAACTAAAACACCTTTACTAGGTCTTCCAAAAAAAAAGTCTCAGTACAGTTTTAAGCTTTAATAGCTATTATTATTTGGTTATGGGAAGCATTATAATTTATTAGAGAAATGTGAAGCCATCCTATATTCTGCTAATTGACATCTTTTAGCTAGGGGTTTTTAACCTGGGGCCTATTAAATTGTTTCAAAAATATTTTAATAATTATTTCAATATAATTTTTTCCTTTCTTTTGTAATCCTATGTATTTTATTTTATACATTTAAAAACATGATTCTGATGAGGGGTCAGCCTGAGACTTTACCGGACTGCCCACAAAAAAGGTTAAGAACCTTGTTCTAGATCAAACGTTAAGTACATTAAATCATTCTAAGGAATCACAAACAGCCAGGGAGTGGCAACCACTGACAGC